TGCTATGAGTCGGAACCCACTTGATGGCACTTAACAACAACAACAACAACATTGCTTACATAGTGTCTTGACCTTGATTGAGCTTATGTTAAGACACAAAATTTATATTTTTCATTTTTAATCTTTTATTCCCAATTTTCCCATGAACTTTTAAAAGACCCCTCATAATTTCAGATATTTTTCTAGGCATTGTCCCTCGTTGCTAGTAATCACAGAATATACTTTCAGTTTCATAAATGGGGAAAAGTAGTTACCAACCATCCTTCTTTTAAAACCATTTTTTTCCTTCAGAGCGAAGCTACAAAACTGGAAACAGCAAATAGAGTTTTAAAGAAGAAAATAAATGTAAGTTTTTGTGGATCTGTATTTATCGATATAAACATCTCTAGTGTCTGCTTGTTCTGTGTCATAAACCAGTAAGGATATAAGCATTTTCTCTTTAGCTTAAAACTGGACGGGTTTAAATGAAGATCTTTATAAAAACATTTAAACACTGTTTCTGAGTGGCTGAATATGCCATCCAGAACTGATCATTTCTCTAGACATTCCATTTTACAATGAATTATATTGACATGGATGTATTGGGTGACAAAAAGTACTGTGAACTGGGTCCTCTAACAGGTTCTAGGTATCCCCCTTTGAACACACTCCCTGCTGTTGAACAGATTTGACTTTTGCTTATATCTGTATGTGTGCCTCTCATTACTGGACTAGGTGTAGTTTGAGGCCACTTTATGTGACTGAATAACTGATCATCTGTGACAGGTGATTGAGCACCAAGTGAACCAGTACATGCAGAAGACTAAGTTGACTGACAAGGAGAAACAGTAAGTATTGATCCCAGAATTAAAGAGTTTGAACACCATCGTACTACATATGTGGCACTCATGCAAAACTAGATAGGACCCCTAATGGGCTCATGCTCAAGAGCCTAGACTTAAAATATGTGCACTGCATGTTTCTTAGTGCTTTAGAATGCTTGGTGGTGGTGGTGGTGGTGTGCCATGGAGTCAGCTTTGACTCATAGTGACCCTTCATAGGGTTTCTGAGGCTGTAAATCTTAATGGGAGAAGAAAGCCTCATCTTTCTTCCATGGAATGACTGGTAGTTTCGAATTGCTGACCTTGAGATTAGCAGCCAGATGCATAACCACTACGCTACAAGCTCCTTAGGATGCTTAGACCAAGGGTTCGATCTCAACCTCTTTAGAGATAAATTCCCTGCTTCAGAAACAGCGGGAGAACTGAAGCTGGATGTTCACAAGCAGTGTCTTTGTTTGAAAAAAGAGAAAATGGTCTCATGGTTCTGTATGTCAAAGTCCAGATTCAAGCAAGGGTCAGCATGGCTGTGCTCTCTCTGTCCACTCTAGCGGAAGATCCCTCTTGTTCTCTCCCAGCTCCTGATAGCCCCAGAGGATTCATTTTACCTGGCTGCACCATTGGTTAAAGACTCGTTTCCACCTTCATGTAAACCCATCACTGCTACCACATACTCGGTCTGGAAAATGCTGCCCAGATGCTGGGTCTGATGGCAACTCTGGTGGCATTGATAAGTATGGTGGTCTTCTTTCTGTTCTCAGTAGGTGATATGATAGTGATTGCCTTTTGTGAGAACTGCCTTGAATATTGCACACAAGAAGTGAGACTGACATAACACCCTTTCTGGGGTCTGGCAGTACAGTGGGGACTGTAGGAAGTGGAGGAAGTTCTGATGGCCATCATCAATGAAGTTGGCTTTGTTATGAATTGAAGTAAGGAGACGTGGTGGCATAATGATTAAGAGCTTGGCTGCTAGCCTTAAGATTGGAGGTTCAAACCTAATTACGACTCTCTAGTAGAAAGACATAGAGTTCTGCTTCTCTAACGATTATAGTCTTGGAAACCCTATGGGACAATTCTACTCAGTCACTAGGGGTCACTATGAGTCAGAATAGACTTGATGGCACCTAGCTACAACAGCACTGAACTGTGAACCACAAGGTCAGCTGTTCAAACACAAGTTGCTTCTCAGAAACCCTATGATGGTGGTGGTTATGTGCCATGGAGTCGGATCTGACTCATAGGGACCCTGTACAGGGTTTCCAAGGCTGTAAACCTTTACAGGAGCAGAAAGCCTCATCTTTCTCCCATGGAACAGCTGGTTGTTTCGAACTGCTGACCTTGCGGTTTGCAGCCC